GGTGGATTGTGCCCAATCATACAATGCTGCTTCTGGCACAAGAGGCACCACACCCTGATTGTTCGGGTCATTCGCATTATTTATGTTGTTTGGATTTTCTATTACGTCATCCATGTTTGGTTCGATTCGTTCTGTTGAGTTATGTTGTTGTTTGCCCTTCTTGTTTGCACGATTCAGTGCCTTGAAAACTTTTTCAGGATCTGATAATGCTTCAAACAATTCACCAGTTCTTGAGGAGTTTATAGGCATGCACTTGTAACACCCAAGACTACAAACGTTAGAATTTCATTGTATTTAGTTTAAAATGAAGAAAATTGACTACACTAAGAATTCTAGCACTTCTTTTAGCTGCAATTAATAACACCATTAAGTCCCCGGTAACGGCGCCAAAATTTGATCATGCCCAATTATGCCTTATAAAAAGGACTAAGCGGTTGTTGCAAATATATTCCGGTTAACAAGTCCGGAGTCGAATCCCACAGGAAATTAACCTATTAAGCACAGCTACTAGACTCACACAAATTCACGCAATCAATCTTCAGAAATATTTAAATAACAAATTTGATGTTTACTAACTAAATATCACGTAATGAAAATGCAGTAATTAATAACTAACTACGAACATGTTGTAGACAAGAATTGGAATGATCTAAGGTTATGATTTCTCCTATTGTCAGAATCCTTTCCGCTACGTTTTCTATAAATTTGTTTAAGTTTTCTCTACCGGTCATGAGCTCTCTGAGTGTCGTAATTCTCTCCCGAGTAACTACCATAATTTACTAGACATATTCTTCCGAATTACGCTAGCTGGCACTAAGTACGTCTCACTCGGATCGCACCAAGGTTTAGTTATTCCAAATCCCACCTTTAAACCCTCCGTATTGATCCCTCATATACGTTAGGAGTGATGTTGTTCAACAACTACCTAGATATGCACTCTCTTAAGAGTAATACACACTAAATAGGTACAGACAATTGAGAGCTCTTCAACCAACCACAATATAAACGTAGTTAAAAAAATAGAGAAAAAGCTACGGCAAATCTATATTAACGTAACTGGAAAATCATCCTCTAATAGGTTCCATCAAAACCCTAGATTAGGAGTTTAGCTACTCATACTCATAGTAACAATATCCCAAGTATTTTGCATAAATAAATTATAAAGTAAAGATGAAGGAATGTAGAAATCGATGGTTCTATCTCCCAACAGGTGTTCCACGAGCTATTCTTGCTCCCGGTCGAAAAAACTCCTTCAAAAGTGGTGTGTAATGTCTATTTATATGTATAGGAAAAGACATAAACAACATAGCTCAAGTCCTAGTCAAACAAGGAGACGAAATAAGCCTTCAAAATCCGGATCAGGCTCGCCTCAGACCATGCCTCGCGAGGTACAATGCGAGATGAACCTCCTCCCAGATCATGCGACGCCTGCCTCCACGCGAGCTCAACCTCGCCTTATCCCTCGCGTCGCATTCTCCCACGCGAGCTCAAAGGCTCGCCTCGCCAGCTTCCACGCGAGCTCAAAGGCTTGCTTCGCCTGCTGCTTCATTTCTTCCGCTGCTCAATTCTTTCTTTCGTCTTTCCAACTTTTTTCGAGCACTCTTTATACTTTACATATTCCTTTTGCTCTAATTTCATCTCCGATGTACCTACACATAAAATAGACTCCATTCCGCGCCAATAAAGTATAGTTTAGCATTAACGCATCTAAAATGCTAGGTAAATAATGTGCTCAGATATGAAATTATAACCACACATCACTTATCCCCACCACAAAGATATGCTAGGATAGTCCACTTTAAAATTGAGTAATTTAGAGTCCAAATATCAGAGCAAATGACATTAGATATGTTATATAACTTGTATTGCTGTAAATAAATTAAATAATAATCTTTCTGAAAAAACAGAAACAGAAAGTTAGTAGAAATTTAATTCCGAAAAAACAGTAAATTTCTTCAAAATAAATTCTGAAAACGTTGTAGGAACAAATCGGGCCCACTGAATACACAGTGTGTCCTTAAGGAAATTATTCCCCTCAAGTACCCGAGTATCCTCCCAGGATAGAACGATTTAACTCACCAGTGTATCGGTACCTAAAACTCTGGTGATCGGCGAACCACTCGATGGTCGTAAAACACACTGGAATATTTTGTGCAGAAGAAGAAGAAGATTCAGAAAATTTAGTAAGTAAATATTCTGGGATTTGAAGGTCTATTTATAGCCAACCTGGTGATGTTTCTGAAGAGGTTTGCAACCTTTCAGAATAGTCATGACTGTTGGAACAGGTGTGACCCTCTGAAGAGGTTTGCAACCTTTCAGAACAGTTTGGAACAGGTGTGACCCTCTGAAGAGGTTTGCAACCTTTCAGAATAGTCATGGCTGTTGGAAATTTTTGCGGGAAATTTAAAACAAATTTAAATTAATCCGGGAAAGAAAAACGGACTACACCGAACCGGGTCGCGGGTCATCCCTCCATTTCTTTTCCCACCATTTTTCATTCACACCTTTTTTATTATTATTTATTAAATAACAAACCCAACAAAATAATCTAGCTTTAATCCGCCATCGTTTACTCAGCAGACCCCCAAGCTTCTTCTACGGGCAGAAAAAGCACACGCAGAGGACAATGAATTGATTATAGCCATTAATAAAAAGGGATGAGTCAACTCCTAGTCCAGAGCTTCCTTCAATGCTAGTTCGGAACTTGTCTATTACTTCCTCCGCTCCAAAATAAGTGATTTTTTGGTCTTTTTCTTGTGGTCCAAAATAAGTGATTTTTCCAGATTTCAAGAATGAATTAATTATTTTTTTCCTTCATTGTCCTTGGAGTAAATAGTATTGGAATATGTGTTAGAAGTGTTTATGTGAGATAGTAAAGGTTAATATGGTCAATTCCATTGCTAATTAATGCTAAAAGTGGATTTCTTAATCTATGTGAAAACATCCAAAAAATCACTTATTTTGGACCGGAGGAAGTAATAACTCCATTTTATTCCTTTTTTAATGTATTTACATAAGTATATAAATCACGGATATTAAGTACGATATGGGGAGGTACACCTTCACTTTCTAACTTCTTAATGAAGGGCCCTTTGTTAAAGCTATTGCTCCTTAGGCGCTGATCATCTGAGCAACCCCTCTTGTCTCGTGATATTGTCTTAAAGTCGACGTAATTCTTTCATAATAGTGTAATTTTCGGAACAATTTGTCTAATTAAATTTGAGAAAAGTAATCCTCTTGGGAAACACCTATTATTGAAATTATTTACATTCTAACATGAGTTAAAAATGAACTAACTCAATTACAGATTATCTTCAAAGCGTCTCGTTTTTATCTTTATTTATTAAGTAGTTTGTAACAAATCTTGCCATTCTGCTTATATGAAGTAAAACAATAAGCACAACTACTGGCTAACATTTGACCAAACTTTCGGTGAATCTATTTTATTAGTAAAAGATTCATTAAATCATACACAATTGAGATATCAACATATATTTGACATTAAAAACAAAAGAGCATTCAATATAAATTAATACTAGGTAGGCGTTTGGACATAAATTTCAAGATTTTTTTTTTTTAAATTTGGAAATTTACTATAATTTCCATTTGAAGATAAAGTTGTGTTTGGTTATAATTTTTGCAACATATTTGGATGTGCTTTTTTCAAAACCATGAAACATGATTTATACCCCCACAATTTGTAAAAAAATCAAAACCACCCCGACTTTTTTTTTTTGGTAATGACACCACCTCGAGTTGATTATCCTACTTGAAACAAACAATCAAGCATGCTGATTGTTTTACTGTACGAACAATCTCTATTAGAAGTTGTTGTGGCTCCTTCAGGTAAAAGTATAAATTGTAGATTTCAACACTGGATATCAAAGTATAGTGCAAGGCCTCTCAATCAGATGGTGGGTAGTTGTAGGTGTTACTTAGATTTAATAACTGATTAGGGTCCTTTTATAAGTTTAATAAATATATAGTAAATTTGTAAAACTTAAAAATACCAATTTTTCAATTTTCAATTGAAAAACTGGTTCTTAGCAGTTTTCAACTTCGAAAATACATTTTCAAGTTGATTTGAAAAAATATAAAATTTTTATAACAAAACATTGTTTGAAAAGAAAAAAAAAATTATGTCCAAACGGGCTCTAGATATCTTTATTCATGAAAAATGGAATCAAAACCAAAATATCCGAGTAACGAAACTCCAAATTCTTACCTATTCTTGGTACAATAACCAGAGTTGGATGGTGACTTGAGAATCATGTTATCCCATCATTTCATTTATATTATAGAAGTGGGACCTTTTTGGTATAATTCTTGAATCTTTATTTCTTTGTTTTACTCTTTAACCTTTGCGTAGAAGCATCTGTTCCCAAAAGATAAGGTTGTACCAAACCAAAACCATTATTATCACCAAACTTCATTTTCCACCATTCACATTAATTTCCTCTTATCAATCATAACTATAATTGGTGCATCGTTGGATATTATAGTATGGTCTTTGGCACACTTACACTCATCAATTCTTCTCCAAAAGGGTATTAACATTGACATTAGCGAATTGTAATTTACTTTAAAGATTTGAAAAGAGAATCCAACGTGCATGAAAAACAAAATATCAAAGAATTAGGGGTTGTAGTTGTCTAACCATCAATTTCGTACCAGGAAAAGAATACCAGAAATATTTATTCGTCCTTCTTCACAACTTGAGTCTTCTCTTTTGAAATTTGTTATTTTCTTTTGAAGCATTGACCACGTAAGTATTGTTAACAGTTATATGCATTTAGTAAGTGTATTTTTACAAAGTATGAGTGTTTAGCTGAGAAAAGTCTATGTAAGGAAGTCGATGTTATAAGACGTAACACTGCAACTAAGTGTTAATTTATGTAGTGAACCAAATAAAATTAAGTGTACTATTAAAGTATTTGCGGGATGAACAGTCATGATATTTAGTGTCAAAATCATGTTTTAAAAGAAAGATTTTCATACACCCTACTTTTTAGTCCCACTTAACACTTACAACCCCAACCGAAAAAAAAACTAGCCAATTATATTCTTCTATGTACTACATTAGAAAATCACTCTTTCTTTAAAGAACTCTCTCACACAATCTTGAAACTAACCATATTAGGCCAACTTATCTCAAACTTACAAACACTGTCTCAACTGATCCAACTCTCTCAAAACCTCACCACCGCTAGGTACAACCACCATGACGGCAAAGGACTGCGGCCACCACAATGAGGAGGAGGAGGGGCACAAGCTGCCCCGCCGCCTCTTTGCGGCCGTAATCGGCTTCATAATCTTAATCCTATTCATCATCTTCCTCATCTGGCTCATCCTCCGACCAACAAAACCACACTTCATCTTACAAGACGCCACCGTCTACGCTTTCAACGTCTCTACCCCTAGCTTTCTCACCACTAACATCCAAATCACCGTTGCCTCTCGGAATCCGAACGCCAAAATCGGAATTTACTACGACAAACTCGACGTCTACGCCACGTACCGCGGCCAACAAATTACACTTCCAACGTTATTGCCACCAACGTACCAAGGTCACAAAGATGTGTCGATATGGTCACCTTTTGTGTACGGTAATTCTGTCCCTGTTGCACCCTACTTAGGAAATGCACTTAGTCAAGATCAAATGGTTGGAATGGTTTTGTTGAATATTAAAATTGATGGGAGAGTTAGATGGAAAGTTGGGAGTTTTATTTCGGGAAGGTATCATTTGTATGTAAATTGTCCAGCTTATGTTGGTGTAGGTGGAAAAATGATTGGTAATAGTTTTGCTGTTGGATCATCAGCTATTAAGTATCAATTGGTGCAAAATTGTCATGTTGATGTTTGAACAACAACAACAAGATTTGCTCCATTGTCAGTGCTCTCACTCAGCTCTACGATCTTTTTTCTGCTTTTTTTTTAAATGTCGGATTTTATTGTTAGGAGTATAATTTTAGATCTTAATTTTGATGATAAATGGGCTAATGCAAAGTTTTAGTGGGAGTTATTTAATTTTGTTGTTAATTAGTAACTCGAGTATTTCTTTCTCTTTTTTATTTTAATTTCTTTTTTCCTTTTTGTGTAGTCATTATTTGTAGAATGTTTTAACTTTATTAATGAAAAGCAAAAGTTCAAGAATCAAGAGAGTGATAAAGCAAATACTACTAAGTACGAGTATATTCCAAGTGGTGTAACACTGATTCGACTTTTCGTGTTTTCTTTTCCCCGTTTTGTTGTCTTTTTTTCCCTTCTTCGTGGTTCTAGATAATAAAACCATATTGTAATTATCCTTTCACTTTAATGGCTTTAGTATTTATGAATTTTTTCTTCATTGAAAACAAATATTCAGACCCGATACATCCAACTTTTGATAAATGAATATATTTCTAATTTATTGATGACATGTCGTTTAAAAGGGGAAACTGTAGTGACATGTAGAGAAGTTATGGGTGTAATTTTTGCCGAATTTTTCCCATAAAACTTGGAGAGTGATCAAATACATGAATTTTCCTGCTTTTACAAACTTGCGACGAGTTCTAGAAACAAGTTTTATGGGACAATTTACTCTTTTTTGAATTAGGGTTCTAATTTTTCTATCGTTACTTATTATTCATTTTTCAAAGAGTGCTCCTTTAATTTGGGAAACATACTTTTGTTTAATTTTTAGTAAAAACATCAGCCATATGATGAATACAGCGAAAGAAGGAAAAAAAGGTTTTATTTTAATCATCATTTTTTTTTTTTGTGTTCAATCCAATTTCATCGGCTTCATAAAAATAGTTTTGATGAAATCATGAACATGGAATGGAGTTTGGTGGCTGCAATGAACGTTGAAGAGGTCCCCAACACACACTTGTTATTAATCATAACAAATTTGCACAACCAAAGTAAACGACAACAAATATTTTAATTTTAATATTTAATTCATTTTGTTATGTGTGTGCATGTTTTCACGAGTCGGATAAGGCATGATCTTAGGATCCTGTTATAGGCGAGCAAGACACCGACAAGTTTTTAGTATCTAGAAAATTATCGTTTATGGGTTGAAACAAAGTATTCTTATAATAGATATATACATGTGCTCCAACAACTAGTCTATTTTTAATACCAATATTTCATATTTTTTTCTCATTTGTTTTCCTTACCCTTAATTTTGATCGTCATATAGTAAGGTTAAATAATAATCAGGGACGGATCCACTTGAAGAAATGTGGGGCACGGGCACCCATCCTTCTTACAACTAAAATTGGGTTTCCCTTATAATTTTGTACAGATTTTGCCTGATAGTGCAATAGGCACCCATGCTCAAAATTCGCAATTGGTGCCTCAGTAGATTGGATTCGAGACCCTATGGCCATTTTGATATTTAGTTCAAATTTCTTCTATTTTCTCCTTTAGTATTTTTTCTATTTTTCTCCTTTACCATTTCCTTTCATTTTTTTATTTCTTTTTCTCTCCTCACGATTAATCTCCAAGGCTTCATGGTAAATAAAAAATTAAACATCCAAACTCTAAGTTATACGAGTTTAACATATTCTTTTCAATCAAACCATGAATGCTTTTGTCTAAATTTTAAGTACAAAATATAGTTTTATTTTTGGTAAGCAATTTGCATATAAAAAATTAGTCAAATGCCATAAAGCTTTTTGAATTGTGACGATAAAAACTTAATTATATATTAACAAGAGTATAGTTTATCTCTTTGCATAATGTGCACAATTGATAACATGTCATATAATATTACTTCCTCCGGTCCATAATAAGTGACTTTTTGACCTCTTTATTAGTCCAAAATAAGTGTCGTTTTACATAATCAAGAAGAAATTAATTTTATTTTTTTCAAAATTTGCCCTTATTTACATATCCCAATGTGTCAAGTTAATAATATGTAAATTTTAATTAAAGGTAATTTAGTCAAAATACCTTTTTTCTCTAGGACTTAGTAATTTCTTAAAGAGTGTGCCAAATACAAAAAGTCACTTATATAAATCGGAGGGAGTAAAAATTTCACATTCATTTGATGTTATGACAAACATCAATTTTATGCTAAAGTCAATGGTGCACCCATAATCTTAAAACCCCAAATGAGACAGTTTAACCATGTAGCCCCTTAAAACATAATACGATTAGATTCATTAGAAGTTCATTTAGTGTCAAAGACTTGAAATCACCTCAAATAAATTTATAACCTTGAATGAAAAATATATACCAAATATAAAATAAGATGTGATTATCCCGTATGAATTCGCTACTCTTTCTATCTCAAATCAAATATACACATTTCGCTGTTAGGGGAAGTTTTTGGAGGAAGTGTTAAATAGGTAAAATAGACATTACATGCGAGCAGTTGCGCAGGCAAGAATTTTATCAAGGATATATATATATATATTATATATATATATATATATATATATAAAGTTTTTGACCTATAATATAATTTTTGAACACAAGAAGTTCAGATAATCTCTTCCGCCACTCTAAGTCCGCCCCTAGTTCAAAACCCACAAGAACAAGAAGTAAATGTTAATTCCCAGTTGCGAAAAGGTGTGGAGTGGGGCAGAGAAAGCTTGACAATGTGGTAAGTAAGTAACTTCCTTACCTACTGCTACAATTCTACCCACTACTACTGTACTATATATGCAATCATGTAACAGCTATGATGTGTGCTTTAGAACAAGTCGTTTAATTGATTATTACCTTATATTAGTCATTCTAAAATAAGTATAATTTCACACACAAATATGCCAAAAGGTCCATAAAACGCACGTACTCTCAGAGAGCCAATACCTTTGAGTACAATATAATTGGAATGAAATTTCTTAATAAGTACTACTACTATTTAGATTGTGGTGAAAAGAAAACTTATAAGCTTCTTTTTCATGTGGGCATTTTGTAACTTAAAAGTGTATTATTGAACAATAGGACAATAACATATTACCTCATTATTGAAGCTGAATTTCTACAACAATTTACAAGTTGCACGAGAAAAATATTACTCCATTTTTCAAGTATAATCGAGAAGTCTATCCACCTGGTCGGTCTAGAGAATTCTGGTGCAGAGTAGACTTATCCTTTGTTACTTAGCCATATGGTCAGAATTCTTTGCGTATTATTATGGCTTTATTGCTGTAAAAACTTTTGTATCTTTGTGCTCAGAAGAACAGAAGGATCTGTCTTTGTTATATTCAATGGATCGCTACTTGACAAACCAAGGTTTAATACTTGTCAAATAATTGAACTGACTCACTTCTAGGGATGGCAATGGGACGGTGCGGGTGCGGGGCGGTGCGGGTTTGAACGTTAGCGGGGCGGGACGGGTTTGAGAGCTTGCGGTTGCGGGGCGGGGCGGGGCGGGTTCAAGTTTTTAAAGTAAAAATAACGCGGGGCGGGGCGGGCGCGGCGCGGGTGGGGATTTAATTTTTTGAACTAACAAAAACCAAGGTTTTGGGGAAATTCTGGGCAAATTGCTTGGTCATTCACCTCGATTTCTTGGCTGGAAAGGCTTGCAGGTAAATGTTAGTAGTAATTCACTGGCTTCAACAGTTTCTAGTCTATTTTGACAAATCAAGTATGTCTCCGAGTATTTTGAAACAAAAATTAGGACTTTGTTCTTTAACTGTTTTTTATTTTTATATTTTGCTTTCTCTTTAATTTCCTTTTTTTAAGTGTTGTTCACAATTTTTATATTTTTTTATATTAATTTTTTCAGCTCTGTATGTGCCCCAACATGGGAATTTCTATGTTACATAGAGAATTTTTGCATTTCTCAACTGCTGAAATCGGCCATGGTGTCACTCCTATTATTTTTGTGCACTGAAAAGCAATGACAAGCAAAAAGGCTACTTCAAAAAAGCTAAGTATATGAAAGAGAGAGAACAATTTGGATATAATTAATTGTTTTGTTAAAAAAATTAGATTTAAGTCTAGCTTTCTGAAAAGAAAGAATTTTTATTAAAAAATTTGCAGGGCGGGGAGGGGCGGGTGAACGCGGGTGGAGTACGGGGCGGGTGAATGCTGATTTAAATCCTATGCGGGGCGGGNTATTCACCTAAATTCGAAAGTTCAAAAAACTTGGAATGTGTATAATCACCCAATTTCATTCCTCTTTCGATTCAAACAGAATATTTCTTTTCTGGACAAAATTTTTGTGCAAATTCGTAGAAAGTTTGCTTGATTTAGTCCATTAATGCTAAGTGAGAATGAAAAAAAGGAATTTTTACATTCCTATGCCATATAATATAAACTATATTACCCTCAATGTTTAAGTTTTGATATAATTACATTTAGTATACCTAATTACCAATTATATACCATTATGTGTTTTAACCGTACATTAATGGTACCGTATATCCCTTCTAAATTAATGGTACCGTATATTCTTCCAAATCCCCCCCCCCCCCACGTTTCTCTCTCTCAAACCCACACCCTCACCCACATATCACCCCACACCCACGTTTCTTTCCCATTATTTCCTCTACTAAAACCAAAGAAACATATGTAACCCCCACCATTAACGTCCAATTTCAAGTTTTTTCTTCTACAACTAGTCAAAATTGAAGTCAATTCTTCAAAGTTCATACACACATTTACCTTCGGCTTCAAATTTTCTCAATGAAGAAGAATAAACCTTCAAAGCACAGCCCTAAAAAAGCTAGAGAAGCTGATATACCTTCTTTCGATTTGGGTGTATTATCACCACATTCACCCAAAAAGCATGGGAAATCTGCACATGCAATTGTAGATAAGAAGCATAATCTTTCTCCGCGTCAAATCAGGGCTGAAGCTAGAACTAAACAAAAATATGATTTCGATGCTGGAGAATCTTCGACGCCAATCAAACAAGCGAAAAGGAAAGGAAAAGAGATAGTGTTCGATGATTATTTTGTAGAAGATGTGCCTATCAGTAAACCTGGAAAGAAAGCAAAAGTGTCTCCCAGTTCAAAAACTCCCAAAAAGAAGAAAAATTCAAAAAAAGCCCCTACTGTTAAATCTCCTAAAAATGTTCGAAAACAGTCATTGGTGAAGGTAAGAATTTAGTAATTTCTTCACTAGTTATTTCGTTTGTTTTAGTTGTTAAAAATCTACATAATATGTGTTTTTCTGCTTTGTAGATTATTTGTCTTCATTTTGAAGATTAA